TTTCAACTGAGAACATGGCAAAAGACCTAATGCCAGTGGGGGAATAAACTGGTTGTATTATTGACAGATCATATGTCTGTACTTTGGGTGATTTTAAAGGGATTTTCAGCACTAATTTTTGATAGTATGCAACTGCACAATTTCTGTCATACTGGCAAACATTAAACCAAACCCCTACCAAAGATGCCACTCTACTGTATAACATTTTGATAAACCATCTTCCTGTGCCTTCATTTTCTGTACAAAATAGGACTAGAAAGATGTCTAATGATGTCAAGGCAATTTGCAAAATCGAAACCAACAACAACAACAAACCATTCCCTGCAGTCTCTTGGGGCTTAAGAGGAAGGGGGCCAGAGAACTGAGAGCTGAAAGCCCACTTTTGCCCTGGGTATACTTGCTAAACCTCAAACAGCTACAGGATGAGAGTCAGGCTTGAAACCAGGTAGAGAGCTGCTCCTGGGAGTTAGAGAAACCATCACACAAGGCTATAGTGACAAAAAGACAGATCAAGGGTCTTAAATATCCAACATGGATCCCCCCGAGGATAGTTCCTAAATTCTGAAACTGCATAAGGCAAGAGTATACAGCAAGGTTGGAAATCTCTGAAAAGTGAAGCTGAATTTCCTGGAGTCTCAGCAGAAAGCCACCTAGGGTCAGGCCCCAGGGATCAGGAAGAAGCAGAGATGCCTAACCAGACCTGGCTCACTCCTGGAGAGGATTAAGAGGTCAGCCCCCTATTCTATCTGCCTAGCAGATAAAAGGATAAAGCCTTTCTGGAGGAAAACAATACCATCTGGAACCTCTATAGTTGTTTACAAACAACATCCAATATTTAATAAGAAAATTTACAAGGCATGTTCAAAGTCAGAACCATATAACCAAAAAACCAAGAGAAAAATAATTAGACAATAAAAGCAGATCTATAGTTGATCTTTACGTTGGAGACACGACTTTAAAGTAACTATAACTCATATAAATTCAAAACATTAATGGAAAAAATAAATAAAAATATGACTTTATGGGAGATCTCTCCAGAGTACTAGAATATATAGTTAAGAATTAAACATACATCTCAAGACTAAAAAATATTGTAACAAATCACAAAATCAAAGGATGACTTTAATAAGAGATTGGACACAGCAAACGACAGGTTTAGTGACTAGAAGTTAGGACAATAGAAAATGTACAATTTTAAAAACAGGAGAAAAAAAGCATAATAGAAATGTTGGACATAAAGAGTCTAACGTACATCTGGATTGGAGTCCTATAAAGGAAGCAGACAGAAAACTGGGCAAAAGCAACATTTCACAAGATATCAACAATTTTTTGTTTTATGTTTTCTGTGGTTTCATTAAAATCTTCACAGAAATCAGAAGACAATTTGAAACTCCATTTTCAACTCAGAGTACGTAAGAACTAATGTGAACATTTTTTGTTGCCATGATTCAATTTATCACTTGACTACTTAGAAAGCATGGTCTTTGGTAAGATTTAACACAAGCAGCTCTATATTGTAGGAGGTCAACGCATCTGGTACCAAAATTTCCTCTTCTGTTTGCCCACAGGATTTAGTACTAACCTCTGAATCAGAAAAATCTAACTTTACTCAGTTTCATAGACCAATTAAGGGAATAGTATGATAATGCATGTTCTCATTAGCATGCTGTGCACAAGGCAACTCAGCAGCTCTATTTTCGACTGAGTATTGGCGTCTTTTGGGGGAGATCAGTAAACTTTTGATTGATTTACAAGCACTTGCCTGTTTCATCCTGGACCTGTGAGATTTGGTCTTCCTTCATGTATTTTCACATCCCTGTCTCCACCATGCCCAATCTCAAGTTCTTTTCTGCATATTTTGCAGTATGCTCTGTTTGGGTTACTTAACTCCCTAATCCAGTTGTACGTGTCTTTCCATCTGTCATTAAAATAACACAGTCATGGGGCCAGCCCAGTGGTGCAGCAGCTAAGTGTGCACGTTCTGCTTCGGTGGCCCGGGGTTCGCTGGTTCGGATCCCGGGTGCGGACCTATGCACCGCTTGTCAAGCCGTGCTGTGGTAGGCGTCCCACATATAAAGCAGAGGAAGATGGGCATGGATGTTAGCTCAGGGCCAGTCTTCCTCAGCAAAAAGAGGAGGATTGGGAGCAGTTAGCTCAGGGCTAATCTTGCTCAAAAAAAAAAAAATAATAACACAGTCACTTAGCTTTCTTTTTCAGTGATGTCTGGATCATACTGGCATTAGTATTGTAATTGTTTTCACTTTCATTATCCGAATCTTAGAAAACATGGTCATGATATTTACAATGTTAAAAATTAAACTAGCACAATTTTCCTTACAAAGCACAACAGACAAGCAAATAAAAATGGAAAGACTGTTAATGCCCGGGATTACAATGCGCTTAATTGCACACTTAATTGCAGTGATCCAACAATGGATGATCTATTATTGTGGATCCACGGTCGTTAGCATTAGGAACAGCAGAAAAAGAGCAACAGCCACTAAGGAAGGCGGATAAACTATGTCACATCTATTTCACACTAGAATTGAAAGCTGCTGGTTTCAGCTTATTCTTTTTAGCCCACCTCCTGAGTTCTGTACTTTCCTTTCCATGACTGAAAAGCAGGAATTTTTGTGTCTGGGGATACCAGACTTCCAGTCCTAAAATCAGGACAGTTCCAGGCAGACTAAGACGTCTGGTCACTCTGAATCAATACCGTCTTTTTCCACTCTTCTCAAAAGTTCTCAACTGAATTTATCCTCTCTTGGTCCTTTTCAACAGTATTTGTCCTCTCAATCCCAGTCTTGACTCTCCTTGACCTCAGCAATCTTGCCCTATTGACACCCTTACTCTCACCTTTCAACCCTGGTAAACCCCTGTCAACTCAACAGAAATGCTCTCAATTCCTTTCAAATTTAGTCCACCTCATCCTCTCTACCTTGTTTGAACTCAACCTTATCCAAGTACTGACTCTTGACCTCACCTGAGTTTGACTTCTCAACATCAACCAACCTTGACCTCTCAATCTCAGTAAGTCTTGTCCTCTGATCCTTCTCACCTCAACTTTGTCCTCTCAGCCTCCTTCCATAGACCTTGACCAACCTCATCCTCTCAACTTCGTTCTCTTGACTTCAACTGACTTTGCCCTCTCAACTTCAATGAACATTACTCTCTCAACTTTAGTTAACTCTGTTCTCTTTACTTTGACTCCATCTTGTAGGCCTCTCCCGTTATCACAATCTTCCTCAATCTTTCTCCTTAACTGAGTGGTCAGCACCACCATTTATCTAGTTCTCAAAACCAAAACTTCAAGCCATCCAAGATTTATTCATATTTTTATATTATAATCATCACATTAGTCATCAAATATTATCAGTTTGCTGCTAAAGTTTTCCTGGAACCCATTCATTTCTCTCTATCTTCATTGAAAATGTTTTATTTCAGGTTCCAACATTGTTCATCTATACTACTGCCAAAGCATCCTAACAGGTCTCTTCATCTCCAATTGAAGCAATCTCTTCCATCCTGTTGCTCCTCCAATCCCCATCTATCCTGTACTCCGTTGCCAGAGATATTTCCAAAATGAAAATCCGACCATATGCCTAATACTCCCTCTATGTTACAGAATATTAATCATTTCCACCATTTAGCTAACTCTTACTCTTTCTTACTCACCTTAATTCAAAACTTGATACCTCAAACAAACCTTCTCCGATACCCCTTTCCCAAGTCTAAACTGTATGCCTCTGTCTTGGAAGTTCTAGAAATGTTTTATGCAAAATTCTAATACATCATTTTACTGGGCACCATTATATTATATGTTTGAGAACATTTTTATATTAGATGTCTTCCAGCCTCGATTATGCTATAAGCTTTGTAAGAACCAGTTTCTTTAAACTTTATATGTAGGCTCTAACACATGACAAATATCCAATTATTTTTCAAATATGTACATGTTATCTCACTTTCAAAAGTCAGATTTATAATTTTCACCTTAAAGGGAAAGAGAAAAATTCCTTAATAATTGGAATGCTAACAGAAACTTCTTAACACAGTTGATAACTGCTCTATTCCCTCATGCAACTATATATTCATTTAAAATGTAATATTTACTCTAATGCCTGCCATGGAGATGGAGTTAGTGCTTCTCTTAAACTGTAAAGTAACTGAGAAAATTGAATAGGCCTTTAACAGTCTTTACTTTCCCACCAATATTACTGAGGTCTGCTAATGAAATATATATATATATACATATATATATATATAACGCAAAAAACTTCAAATATCAGATGTATGCCACAAACAAAAATTATACCCTTCTGAATGAATTAACCAGACTTCTTATGTAACACTTGACGAGAATTTGACAGTAATTGTGGGAGAGAGTGGGAATCCTAGCCCTACCCCTAAATAACCACATGATCTTAGGCAAGTTACTTAAACTGTCTGAGCCTCAGTTTCCTCACCTGTAAAATAAAGACAATAACATATACATAAGGAACTAGTACAGTCTAACCCAAAGGCATACCTATAAAAACGACACCTATAAAAAGGTATCAGTATTCATAATAAAAAAGAATTTTCCTTTCTTTTAGTCTTAGTTACTAAAGATACATATCAACATAACTTATAATAAAATTACTGGTATTAATATGAAATAGCTAATTTATAATTGGAGTAATAAAATGGAGTGAAATTTTTGTCCCATGTTCTTTAGTCCCTTCTAAATCCTAAAAACAACTACACCAGAGCATATTTTGTTGGAGAAAACTAACAGTACTGCAAATTTTCTAGCGAATAAGGAGAAAGATTACTAAATTCTTGTTTCATGATTCACTTACAGATCATTAATGTTATTTTAAAGAAGAACCCAAAGATCATCTATCAGTTGTGAACAGCAAGACAAAACTCAGACTGCTTAGTGTACTGAGTATTCACGGCCCCTCAGCCAGCACACACGTATACACAGACACATGTCAAACTCCAGTTACAGTTCTTACTTTAATCTTCACAGCATCATAACGGATTTGTGAAAACTCACGAAGACCAAAGGAACCTCCAACAATCAGCAACTGAAACAAGGAAAGGAAACAATTAAACAAAATAGAAGGGCAGAATTCAGTCTATCTACAGATTACTCATCTAAATGCCACCAGTGACAGATTATACAAAATCCTACAGATCATCCTCCCTGGTGAGTTACCATCCATCCGTTAGAGTAGATGTAGTTCATACTGTCACGGGGAAACACTTGAGCACATTATCAAATACCAAAATCAGTACTTTTACTTGACCTTATGGTTTAAATAACATTATCATAAGCATTTCATTAGTTGATCCTTACAAAAGACTTATGATCTAAGAAAAAAACCAAAAAAAAAACATTTAGCAGATGAGGAAATAGAAGCACAGGTAACTAAATGACTTGCCCCTGATTACACTGGGCAAAGCCAGCAATAAAATTCTGGCCTTGTTTGTTCAAGACTGGAATTCTTTCAATTTTACGGTTTTGCAAAATAAGCCAATTGTAGAGCGTTTTTTTCCATCTTCTTACCAAGTGATAAAAAAAATCTCATGAAATATGCCACACTTCTCAACATGCAGTAAACCTTAAAAGATCCTTTAAATTGTCATTGCTGCTTTATCATCTCCTCAAATACTCTAATGGGCTTTCATCCCTCATCCTAAAGCTGCAAAAGTCTAGCAATTTGGAAAAAAATAAAGTTTGCTCCCCACTTTCATTTTTTTCTTTTTTTATTGCAATAACATTGGATTATAACATTATATAACTTTCAGCTGTATCTCGTAATATATTTCGAATTCTGTGTAGCTTACATCATGTTCACTACCCAAAGACTAATAATAATCCATCCCCACACCCGTGCCTAATCACCCCTTTCGCCCGCCCTTCTCCCTCCCCACCTCCCCTCTGGTGACCACTAATCCAATCTCTGGTGCTATGTGTTTGTTTGTCCTTGTTTTTATCTTCTACTTATGAGTGAGATCATATGGTGTTTGACTTTCTCCGACTTATTTCACTTAGCACAATACCCTCAAGGTCCATCCATGTTGTCAGAAATGGCCAGATTTCATCATTTGTTATGGCTGAGTAGTATTCCATTGTGTATATATACCACATCTTCGTTACCTATTTGTCCCTTGATGGGCACCTAGGTTGCTTACAAGTCTTGACTATTGTGGATAATGCTGCAATAAACATAGGGGTGCATGTACCTTTACACATTTGTGTTTTCAAGGTCTTTCAATAAATACCCAGCAGTGGAATAGCTGGATCATATGGTAGATTTATTCTTAATTTTCTGAGGAAATTCCATCCTGTTTTCCATAGTGGCTGCACCAGTTTGCACTCCCACCAGCAGTGTACGGGGGTTCCCTTCACTCCAAATCCTCTCCAACACTTATTGTTTCCCCTACCTTCTTTTTTATATCAACATATTATTACCAATTAAAGAAATATAAAAAGATATAAGACATTGTACAATATAAAATTTTATAATTTTGAAGTTGGCATACTAACAAAACCTTGAGGCTATGCATTTCAAAAACCAATAAATCTGACCTCATAAAAATTTAAAATGTCTATTCTGACAAATAAATGAAATAAAAACAACATGAAATCAAAAGACAACAAATCAGGAAAAACATCTGTTATATATAAGCAGCTAATGCCTGCAATGTCAATATGTAAGAATTCTTTGTGTAAGTAAAATAACTTTTGTCCCTTAATTTCAATGAAAAGACACACCCCTGGGTTTCCTAATTCCTTCTCAGTCTCCTTATATTAATTCTTCCTCACCTTCGCAACCTCAATATGTTGGACCATCGCAAAAGGCTCAGTCTTCAAACCTGTTCTACCTATTTACAACCAACACTGAGTCCCTGGGTGACGTTATCCAGTTCTGTGGATTTAAATAGCCTCTATAACCTAACAACCTTCAAATGTACATTTTCAATGGAAAATAGCCCACTGAACTGAAGACCTGCCTTTCTATTTGACGTCTCCACTTGAAACTCTAACAAGTATACACAAATTAATTTTTTAAAAACCCTTCTTGATTTTTACCCCAACACTCTTTCTGCCTCAACCTGCCCCTAACCAATCTTTCAACGTGCCAGTAAACGTCAACTACTTTTATTCAGTTACTCAAGCCAACTTCTTTGTAGTCATCATTAGTTCCTCTCATTCATATCTCACATCTAATCCATCCCTGAGTTCCGTCACCTCTACTTTCAAAATATTTCTTGAATCTGACAATTTCTGACTATATGCTCTTCTAACACTCTAGGCCAGGCCACCATCATCCCTCTCCTGGACTACTGAAACCACAGTACCCATATGTTACTATAAATAATAAAGAATTTGTCTAGTCTTTGTCCCAGGTTCCTGGGAGGGAGCTACTAACTTGGAATTTCCTGAGTGAGAGGACTATCTTTGTTATTCATGATGAACCCTTGGGACCACACCTGAATTTACACTAACGAGGTGACTCATGGTAGGCCCCTAAATAGTTAGGATAGAGGCTGGCCATGCTGGAACGACCAATCATGTGACTAGACGGTTGGGGCCCTGAGCCATGTGACATCAACCTGACCTCCAGATGTCCAGGGAGGAGAGCAGTGCTATAGACTGAGTTCAGTCACGTAGCCAGTGATTCGATCAACCACACTGAGACAATGAGAACTGAATAAAAAACTCTGGTTGGTTTTATGTCAACCTCAACCTGAATCTTCATGAGGAATGGGATCTTCAGGGAACTCAGTGTGGGATTGGGCTCAAATACATCAACACCAAAACTATCTTCAATGTGCTTTAAAAACATCCACTGTAATTCAGCGACCTTTAAAGGGCTGCTAGGCAGGGGCCGTGTTAAATATTCAATTCACCAGGTTTTATTTAACTCATAACAGCACTCTGGAAAAATTAAGCCAGATCACAAATTAGGAACCTGAAATACAGAGATGCCCGAGACCGTACAGTTAAATTAGGTAAATACATCTAGTCTCAATGATCCAGCATATCGTCAAGCTGTAGCGGGGGAAAAAATGTGAGTTTAGTAATCGTCCAAACGTGGGTGAAAATCTGGTTCTGACATGGCTCTGTGAAGCACACCCTAATAACTACCAGGGAAGGAAAGAGGGGAACTCGAGATTCCACTACCGCGGCGGGGAGAAGACTAGAAGGACTGCCTAAAAGTCCTCAACCTACCGCCAGCCCCTTGCAGCCCAGGCTGCTGGTCCCAGCCGCGGGTATTACAAAGTCCCCGCAGTTTCGCTCCAGCCAGACCAGAGGTCCCACCCCTTCCGGAACCCCGCCTCCACGCTTTTCCTCGCCGCACTCACCAACATGGGGACTCCGTAGCGAAGGGTCTTGTTCTTGCGCAGGGCGCGCATCACCGCGTGTGGAAACATGAGTGAACTCTCCGACCCGCTCGGACAAGCCGCCAAACGCGCCCAGCGCGGCCTCCCCGACCTCAGCGGCTCAAACTCTAGGCCAGGCAAGGACGTCCGAGACTCACCTCCCTTTCTTGACCTCTTCGTGCATGGTTCTCTCCTGATAGGCCTCCGCCAGGCGAAAGCAATCGATCCATCGTAACCTCCGCCCACGTCCGCCCGGAAATTCGAGTATCCGCGGTTTGGTTCCGGCACGCCACCTAGCCGTTGGGACTTACGGACTTAAGTCGTGTTTGTAGTCACCGTCAATTGATATGGAAACCAGTACCTCCCACGTTCGGGGTCTTGACCAGCGTCTTCTTAGAACACTCCTTCTCACATTGCCGCTGGATAAAATCAGCTAAGGACAAAAAAAAGTTACTTTGGAGCTAGTACTCTTGCCTTTATGGCTACTTGTGGGATGGGGAGTTTACCAGCTTAATAAAGATTTTTACGGGCTGGTCCCGTGGCTGAGTGGTTAAGTTCCTGCGCTCTGCTTCAGTGGCCCAAGGTTTCGCTCGTTCAAATCCTGGGCGCGGACATGGCACTGCTGGTCAAGCCATGCTGAGGCGGCATCCCACATGCCACAACTGGAAGTACCCACAACTAAAAATGCACAGCTATGTACTGGGGGCCTTGGGGAGAAAAATGAAAAATAAAATCTTAAAAAAGAAAGATTTTTAGAAATAAGTGGTCACAAAATGTTCAGTTGACTGGTAATCGGCGTACTGTCTTGCTATCACTGAACCTTTAATGCTAATTCTTTTACTGTGAAATAGTAATCTCCAGTCATTTATGAATGTCTATTTTCCACTCATTCAGCAACCATCCAGCACATCTTTTCGCGGGTCATTAGAAGGCTCGAGGAACACAGAGATGAAGAAATATCCCTGCTTTAAAGAAGCTGGCAATCTAACGGGCACACAAATAAACGTGTCTTGAGCACTGTGACAGCTTAGGAAACAGCCCCCACACGTGCCATTTGCCGTGGTGAGTCACGGGAAGCCTCGCCTGTTAGGTACTATTTGAGATGACTTAGTACAGAGTGCAGGTGACATGGAGTAACATTTCCCATGATAGCCCTGAAATCTTTCCATCTGTCCCTGCCCTCTATGGCCACTGAAACGTTCCTGGTTTAATCCCTTATCATCTTATGAAAGTTGTCCCTAGGTAGTCTCCAGAGGAGAAACTCCAGATCTACCTGTAGGCTGCTCCAATAACACCCAAATCTATAGGTACACACCGGGTCAAATACGAAAAACAAACAAAAAATTCTCATTGTGATTCTCAAGTCTATCTTCCACACTGCTGAAAGTTATTTACGAAGCATAAATGAGATTCTCCCTCCTTTTGCCTACAGTAATAACTCCAATTTTCTTAAGCAAAGAATTTAAGGCCCCGTGTAATATGACTTTGGTCTGCCTTTTCTGCCGCTGTTTTTCATTCACACCATACTCCATCCTGGAGGAGATAATTATTTCTTGAGTATTCCATGAACATCCACATCTTCAAAATGCAACGTCACAGACACCAGGTTCTTGAAGCCTCCCTTACTCCACAGGTAATTAAATTATTCCCTCCTCAGCAGTTGTAGTATGCAGAATTTAGAATTGGAGGGATGCGCTTATAAACATGGTTGCTATGGTTTATAAATGGGGTCTCCTTTAAAGTTGTGATTCCTTTGTGCTTTATTTTGGATTGTTTGATTTACGCTTTTTGTTGTCTGTCTGTTTAATTCAACTCTGTGCAGAGCAGGAGCACAGGGTTTATTACAGAATGCATTGTGAAGTATGCAAAATTTGTATATGGCATTGCCTCTTCCTCATTCACTTTCTTTTGATATTTCAGGACTTATACAGCAGCCAGATTACTTAAGTGTATTATTTCTCCTACTTTCCTTCAGATGGGAGATGCCAAGGGCACTGTTATAAAAGCCCACACCTTTTCCTACCTTTTCACCACATAAGACATCACCCTACTGAATTCGACTCCAATAAAGCCCTACACTCAGCTAATAGTTAATAATGGATTAAATCATATATATGTGTGTGTGTGTATATATATATATATTCTAGGTAATGCTATAGCTAATAATCTGTTACCTTTTCAGATAAAGCATATACTCAATTTAAGTGAATATAGGTCTTCAGTCTCTCATTTGTTCAGTCATTCAAATAAGCATTTATGGAGAAACTTGAGGATGGCCCTAGACTAAATAGTAGGAATTACAAGGATGCTGGAAGATTGTAAGGGCACAAAATTTGGAGCAGTGAGGAATTTAAGCACCTATCAAATAATATTATATAGGTGGTAAACTGTTGTCGTTGCTTAGTGCTCACCTTAAACATCACTACTGTATACCTCAGCTTATCTGTTAAAGCAGAGTGATATTTGTCATCATTTTTATAATTCTCACAAAAAACGCAGAATAGCTCATCAGCATGGGCTCTGTTGCCTTCTCAGAAATATGAGTCAGATCTCATTTTTGTGTTTTCCAGTGTTACTAAGTAGTCAGAATGTTGAGTCAGCCGTCTTAACTATCACACTTCCAAGTGGGAGGATTTAAAAATGTATGTTCAAGGAGCAAGGCATCCCCACCACCCATGCCAGCCCCTAAGGACTTGTATCTTTTTTTTTTTTTTTTTTGAGGAAGATTATCCCTGAGCTAACATCTGCCGCCAATCCTCCTCTTTTTGCTGAGGAAGACTGGCTCTGAGCTAACATTGGTGCTCGTCTTCCTCTAGTTTATATGTGGGATGCCTACCACAGCATGGCTTGCCAAGCGGTGCCATGTCCACAGCCGGGATCCAAACTGGCGAACCCCGGGCTGTCAAATCGGAAGGTGTGAGCTTAACTGCTCCACCACCAGGCTGGCCCCTGTACCTTCTTAATATCTGAGCAAGTTATATTATCCTCCAGTATCTGCTCTACCTAGCACTTAACTCATCCAAGTATATGGGAGAGTTGTCACCAAAATCACCAATCTTGAGAGCTTTAGCATTGAGTTTAGGTTTTAGAACTATGGCCAAATTTGATGGTTATGGTATGGAAGGATTAGCTAGTTCACGAATCTTTGGTTTCATAATTGACATCTAATATCTAATTTGATTCACTCAAAAACCTTATAAAGTTTGGAAGAGCATGATTCCAGACTCATCTTACAGGTGAGAAAATTGCGACTCAGAAAGGTTAAGAGGCTTGCACAAGGTCACTTTGTGAAGTAGTACAAATGCCCCAAATGGAATTAAACTTCCTGTGGCATTTGACAATATTGCCTATCTCCTTCTTGAAATCCCCTCCTCCTGTGGCTTCCATGGATGTTTGGCTTTCATGGATCCTCTCCAACTCTGAGACTTCTTTTTGTCTTCTTCAGCCTTGTAGACCTTTAACTGGACTCCTTAACCCTCTTCCATTTTTTTTCTGTCCCAGTGACTTTTAAACTGTAGTGTGCACAGAACACCTTGAATAGCTTATTAAAACACAGGTTTCTGGGCCCAGTTCCCAAAGTTTCTGATTCAGGGGTCTGGGATAGAACCTGAATGTTGACTTTCCTAACAAGCTTCCAGATGCTGCTGCTGCTGCTGGTCCGGGGACTACACTGTAAGAACTACTGCTCTATCCTTTTTCCCTGGGAATACTCAACTTTCACCATGGCTTCAAATTTTATCATAGTGTGAATGACTTCTGGTACATTTCCAGTAGCCTAAATGGTTTTCTAACACCTCAAAGTCAACATACCACAAAGATTTCTTTTTCCCTTTTTTTTTTGGTGGTGGTGGGGGGTCCTTCCCTGCAGTCTGTCTAATTCCTATGGCTAGAACTAGAGTGGCTAAGAGTTGGCTACTCTGTCTCCAGTTCAGTCCAAATTGAAACCAGTTAAAATTAAGTCCTTAACCTTATTCAGTTAGATGACCAACTGTTTCTCCTTTGACGCACATTTTTCTTATGAGAGTGATCATTAACATTGTAGTTTTAGAATTATTCTGTATTTGTTGAATTGCTTTTTATGGAGTATTAGCTATGGAATGAATGGGACCATGTTTAATATATTTCTGTCCTTCATGACTTCCTTCGTAGCCCTAAACCACAATCCATAATTTCTGGAAAAACAAATGAAATGACAACTGGAAGGGTGGCAAGAGCTTCCCGTATCATGCTATGCAGTGAAGAATCCTCCTTAGTGATTCCTAAACCAAACCAAAGCCTGCTGTGTAACACTTTGTAGAGAAGCAAAGGTAACTCTTCTGTACAAATTAATGAAACCTAAAAGAATCCCAAGCTAACCGCATTGTCTCAAAGTGCACTATTACCTAGATGACCACAAATTTTATCAGGTAGAGCAAATCAGGAAAACTTTAACCTTCCAATTGCCACGGGACTAAAGCCCATCTGAAAGCTTTCTAAACATTATCAATTAAAATTAAGAAGGGCTTCCTTCTTGGGTAGGTGGATGTGTGCTTTTGTGATATGTCAAAGGTGAAACAGGATTTTATCTATTGACATTTATGTTAAAAAGAAGAAACTTTGCAGAAAAAGTTATATTTAAAAATGTAAAGACATATGTTTGAATCCAGAGCAAGTAAAATGTACTTTTATCTCAAGATGAACTTTTTGAAAAGGAGACCATTAAAAAATGGCCTGTACCTATGTATGTTTGAAGTGTTTGAGTACTGTCTGTTGTCCACCGGTGGTTAAAAAAGGTCAAATATCATCGTACATATAAAGTTTCCTATAAGTAAAAACAGAACGGACATCCAATAAAACTGGAACTTGGCACCTCAAAAGTGAGTCTGCTTCCTAAAGTAACCACTTGTTACTCGATTTTGAAGTGATTACTTAAATTAACCACTTTTTACTTAAATTTTACTTAAATGAAGTAAATTGAGACTTGAGTGAAGTAAGTAGATTGGCCACTTTTTACTTAAATGAAGTGGTTACTTAAATTAACCACATTTGAAAAATTAAAAAATTTTAATTTTTTCCCCAGTTTTATTGATATAATTGACATATTATATAAGATTAGTGTGTGCAACAAAATGATTTTATGTATGTATATATTATGAAATGGTTGCCACAATAAATTTAGTTGACATCCATCACCTCACATAGTTGCAATTTTGTTTTCCTTGTGATGAGAACTTTTAGGATCTACTACAATACTGTTATTTAACACTATTTTGAATAACCTCCAAATCAAGAATGCTATCAAAATAGAAATTATAAGTTGTATGGCAATTAATAAAAAAACTTCATATGAAATCCTATGAATTCAGATGACAGAAAATATTCAACTAAGAAAGAAAAAAAAAACAAAAGAAGGTATAAAGAGAGAATTAGTCAAAATAAAAGCTAAAATAAAAGAAATGGAAAACAGACAAACAAAACCAGAAGAATGGATTATTATAAAACCAAAATTTGGTTATTAGAATCAATCAGTAGATTAAGGAAAAACGTTCTAAATCTGTTAGGAATGAGACAGAAAATAAAAACATAGATAAATAAGAAAGTAAAAAGG